CCGATGACCCGCTCGGATTAGTAACATGATCTGCGGGCCCCATAGGGAGGGGGCTCCCGCCTGAGACTTCCTCACAATTCACTCACAGACGAGGCTCCCTCTTGGTGGATGATGGTGATGGGATGATGACGACGGTGTTTGATGATGATATATGATTGATGATGATGATGATGATGATGATGATGATGATGATGATGATGATGATGATGATGATGATGATGATGATGATGATGATGATGATGATGATGATGCTGATGATGCTGATGATGCTGATGATGATGATGATGATGATGGTGATGATGATGATGATGATGATGATGGTGGTGGTGATGATGACTACGTGATGATGATGATGGTGGTGATGGTGAGTGCTGATGGTGAGTGATCGTGCGATTCTGATGGTAAATGGTGGTGATGATGATGGGGACGAAGTGGTGAGTCAGCGAGTAGTGGTGATGATGATGATGATGATGATGATGATGATGATGATGATGATGATCGTTCGATGCCGATGATGGTGAGTGATCGTGCGATGGTGATGGTGATGCTGATGGTGATGATGACGATGATGAGTGGGGAGTGATCGTGATGGTGATGATGATGCGGAGGAGGAAGCAAAGAGGAGCAGAGGAGAGGGAGGAGGAGGAGGGGGAGGAGAGATCCTGCGCGGAGGGTGTGCAGAGAAAACAAGAACCCCACTTAGGATGTGGGGAAACAAGCAAGGGGCGGCGGTGATTCAACGTAGGCGTCTTCGATCCGCCGCCCCCCGTTGGCTTGCCACAGCGGTGCCCCGCGTGTTAGATCCTTTCGTATTGGGGTTCTTTTAGAAAAAATCCCTGGGGCTTCGACCCGTCCCGCCGACCACCCGAAAGGCCGCACAAGGCAGCATCAACCACCCCAATGTCCACAAACAATTCTCCAAGACCGCTCAAGATGGCCTCCAAGATGGCCTCCAAGTCGCCAACGATGGTCCAAGATGGCCTCCAAGACGGCCCGAGAGAGTCTAAGATGCCTTCAAGTTCGTCCAAGAAGCCTCCAAGACGGCTCAAGCTGGCTCCAAGATGGCCTAAGACTGGCCAAGAGGCCCCCAAGGGGCCTCCAAGACGTCCTCAAGGAAGGCCCGAAAGGGCAACACTCATTGATGTTCCGATTGTGGCATCTTCTTCTTATCAGCTCTCCGACGGCCCAAGACGGCCCGAGAGGCCCCAAACATGGTCCCAAGAGCGCTCAAGAGGCCTCCAGGATGGCCCCATGACAGCCCAAGAGGTCCCCAAGAGGTCCCCAAGAAGAGCCCAAGACGGCCCAAGATGGCCCCGAAGACGCCGAGGATGGCCTCCAAGACGGCCAGGATGGCTTCCAAGATGCCTCCAAGACGGCCAAGAAGGCCTCCAAGACAGCGAAGATGGCCCCAACATGCACCCAAGACGGCCCCAAGATGGCCTCAAGATGGCCTTAGACTGCCCAAAATGCCCGCAGGAGGCCTTCGCTGTCTTGGAGGCCTTCATGGCCGTGTTGGAGGCATCTTGGAGGCCATTCTGCCGTCTTGGAGTCCATCTTCGGCGTCTTCCTGGCCATCTTGGGCCGTCTTGGGCTCATCTTGGGGCCCTCTTGGGGGCCTCTTTGGGCTGTCATGGGGTCATCTTGGAGGCCTCTTGGGCGCTTTTGGGACGATGATTGGGGCCTCTTGGGCCGTCTTGGGCCGTCGGAGCGCTGATAAGAAGACCATGCCAAAATCCTTCAAACGCCTAAGGTAAATCAAAGCTTGTTGCCCTTTCGGGCCTTCCTGGAGGGCGTCTTGGAGGCCTCTTTGGGGCCTCTTGGCCAATCTTAGGCCATCTTGTAGCCATCTTGTGCCGTCGTGGAGGCTTCTTGGACGAACTTGAAGGCATCGTGGACTCTCTCGGGCCGGCCATCTTGGACCATCTTTGGCGACTTGGAGGCCATCTTGGAGGCCATCTTGGGCCAACGTGACCATCTTAGAGGCCATCTTGAGCCGTCTTCGAGAATGTTTTGTGGACGTTGGGGTGGTTGATGCTGTCTTGTGTGGCCTTTCGGGTGGCCGGCGGGACGGGCCGAAGCCCCAAGGAGTTCTTTTTTAAAGAACCAAAGCCGCAAGGGTCTAGCACGTCGGGCACCCCTGTGGCAAGCCAACGGGGGGCGGCGGATCGAAGACGCATACGTTGAATCACCGCCGCCCCCTGCCTTCAAGAATCGCCCATGTTGCCGAGCGTTGTGGCAAGAGCTTTGCCAAGCTATCGGACCATGTGTTCCCCGAATCGGTTTGGAAACCCCTCGGGGAACACTTGAGGGAGGATGGCGGGGAAAATCAAGAGAAGGCGGAGGAGTAGGTGGAGGAATATTTGGCGGACTTGGAGGCCATCTTGGGCCATCTTGGAGGCAATCTTGGGCCAACGTGACCATCTTAGAGGCCATCTTGAGCCGTCTTGGAGAATTGTTTGTGGACGTTGGAGTGGTTTATGCTGCCTTGTGCGGCCTTTCGGGTGGCCGGCGGGACGGGCCGAAGCCCCAGGGAGTTGTTCTAAAAGAACCAAAACAGAAAGGATTTAGCACGCCGGGCACCCCTGTGGCCAGCCAGCAGATCCCATAACCTGTTGACCTACAGGTCCCATGACCTTATGGCACCCCCCGTAGCAAGCCAAGAGGCCTCCAAGATGGCCCCATGACAGCCCAAGATGCCCCTAAGAGGGTCCCAAGAAGAGCCCAAGACGGCCCAAGATGGCCCCGAAGACGCCGAAGATGGCCTCCAAGACGGCCAGGATGGCCTCCAAGATACCTCCAAGACGGCCAAGAAGGCCTCCAAGACAGCGAACATGGCCCCACGATGCACCCAAGACGGCCCCAGATGGCCTCAAGATGGCCTTAGACTGCCCAAAATGCCCGCAAGAGGCCTCCAAGACGGCCCAAGAGCCCTCCAAGACGTCCTCCAGGAAGGCCCGAAAGGGTCAAAATGGCCTCCAGACGGCCAAGATGACCTTCAAGATGCCTCCAGGACGGCCAAGATGTCCCAATTTAGCCCCAGAGCGCCTCAAGAAGCTCCCAAGAGGACTCTTCCCCCCTTACTGTTTTTCTTCACTCTCCTCCTCTTCCCCAACCTCCTCCACGCGTTCCCCGAAAGCTTTCCAAACTGATTCGGGGGACACTCGTTCCGAAAGATTGGCAAGGATCTGACCCAACCTGCGGCCAGCAGGCCCCAAGACGCCTCCAAAAGATCACAAGAGCCCCCAAAGGCCCCGAACACGCCCAGTCCTGACTCTCCTCCCCTTTCCCGTCCTCCCCCACGTGTTCCCCCGAAGGCTTTCCCAACCGATTCGGGGAACACATGGTCCGATAGCTTGGCAGGGCTCTGGCCTGAACGTTCGGCCACATAAGCGCTTCCAAAAAAGCAAGGGGCGGCGGTGATTCAACGTAGGCGTCTTCGATCCGCCGCCCTCTTGCCACAGGGGTGCCCGGCATGCTAGATCCTAGACGGTTTGGTTGTGGTTCTTGTCCAAAAGAACTCCCCCTGGGGCTTCGGCCCGTCCCGCCGGCCACCCGAAAGGGACCACAAACGAGCACAACGTCCACAACAAGTCTCCAAGACGGCTCAAGATGGCCTCTAAGATGGTCAAGTTGGCCCAAGATGGCCTCCAGGATGCCTCCAAGACAGCCCCACAAAATGCACCCAAGACGGCCCAAGACAGCTTCAGGATGGCCCAAGACGGCCCCAGAGGCCCCCAAGATGGCCTCCAGGAAGGCCCGAAGAGGCTACAATCATTGATTGTCCTCAGGTGTTTGAGGGATTTTGTTGTTTGCGCCTTTTCGGCCTTCCGACGGCCCGAAATGACCCTAGGGGCCTACGAAGAGGGAATGTGGAGAGAGGGTTCATTGCAATGTCGCGGCTTTGGGTCTCGCCAACCGGGCCCTGCTTTGGGTCTCGCGGCTTGTGACGAGCGTGGGGAAACGTTGGGAAGGGGACTGGCTCAGGGGGGGAACGTTGACCTGGAAACGGCGATGCATCGCCGATAGATCGGCAGCGAGCTCTCGGTAGCAAAACCGCACGGTCCCGGGCGGCGTGTGCTGTCAGGCCGCTATTGGCGGTCGATGGTCCATTGGGAAGCGAATTGCTCTCCCCCGAGCCCATCCACCGCTGACGTTGCCCCTGTGAAACACACGTGGCTGGGTTCACGTGTGAACTGCCTGGAGGCCACGCGCTGGTGACACGTGCGGAGGGTCAGCGAGCCTGGCCAGCCAAGGGCCGAGGGCTGGAAAAGCATGCGGCCACATGTACATATGCAACCAGATCCCCCAGGCCAGCCGCGTCGTGTGCATTCAGCTTCTTGGTAGTGGTCGCGAGGACGGGGCTCGACCTCGCCAGGTCGGGCGCTGATTGAGAGCTGCTGGCTGGGGTGGGACCCAGCCGGCGCTTTCTCAGGCAGCGCAGGTCCACTCAAGGGCAGGCATAGAATGCACAATGGCCTGGCCTCTGGACCGCGTATACTGGGCCGAATAGTCTTCTTTTAGGAGCAGGAGCGGTGGGAAAGCGGCGTCCTGGCCATAACACAGTTGAGCGAGACGCGGGTGGTCTTTGGACCCTGCCCCTGGTTTGTGTGCACAGCAGTGTGTGTGTGTGGGGGGGGAACTGGCAGAAGAGATACAGCACACACATACGATTAGAAATATTGGGGCGCATTTCCCGTCGAGATTTAAGCTCCCTGGGGTGCTCTGGGGCCTCTGTGGGCCCCGAAGGCCGTTGCTTCTTCTCTGACGTGCATGCTGTCGAAAGGGCAACGTGGTGGCCAAGAACGGCCACGGAGGACGGGCGATGACGACGAGGGAGGGCAGAAGAGGTCCTGGTGCACGTTGACTCCTGGCCGTGGCCGGGAGCCAACATCCTAGCGCTGCCCCTAAGAACCGTCTTCTTCCGATCGCAGGCGGATCCACCGACGGCACATTCCTCGCCGAATGAAACCGAGCCCCGGTCGATCATCTGAGGGCCGCGCCCTCTGGCCTGCTGCTGGCGAGCAGCGGTCCCGTGCCGCGGTTGGAGCCTACGCCGGCGGCGCTGGCATCCTGTTGCCGGCGCGATGAAGAGTACTCTGGATCGGCCAATTATCGCCCCCCCCCTTGAATCCGCTGGGGGGGTTGGGCACGCGCTGTCGGCACGGGTGGAGGGGGGGTCGGAGGAAGAGGAGGAAGATGAGGGGGGGGAGGAGGACGGAGGGGGCGGGATTGGGCAAGCTCAGTCGGGAGGTGAATCACCCCCACTGATACAAAAAAACCATCCAGAGTACTGCTTGTGCTCTGGTTCCCACTCTTCTCGGGGGCGTCGAAGAGAGGGGGGCGTCCACGAGGGGGGTTCTTAAAATCATGGCCAGAGGCATGTGCGCGGCCCAAAGACGGGGGGCCAGGGGACGCGTGGTATAGGGAAATTAATTCCACTGAGACATCGTGGCCCCGGCCATGACATTCACCCCTCGCACCATCGCCCCACTCTGATTGGCGGCGAGCGAGGGGGAGAAATGAGAAGGAGAAGGCCTTCTCAGAAGCCCTCGCGCCTCTTGAGAAGTTGTTGTTTGTCTTCGGGGAAAGCTTAAAACACTTCTCAGAAGGCCGCGAGACTTCCGAGCCTTCTGAGAAGGTCTTGTCCTTCTCACTTCCATCCCTCGATCGCCGCCGATCTGAACCACACCCCAAACTCTTGATGCCGATGCTACTGTTGCCGACCTACTGCTACTGCGAGCGCTGCTGCTGCTTATGCCGCTGCTGCTGCTTCTGCCGCTACTGCTGCTGCTGCTGCTGCTGCTGCTGCTGCTGCTGCTGCTGCTGCTGCGGTGCTAGGTATACCCCTACACGCCAATGCTGCCTCTACTGTTAGGGGTGCTACGAACGGCACTGCTACTTACGCTGCTGGTGCTAGAGGGTTATACTGGGTAATGATATGCATGCCGGTGATGATTACGCCACGGACATATATTTATACATATATCTATATATACACATATATGTGTATGTATACACACAGACACCCTGCGATTACTTTTGCATGTGCCTTCAGGGAGGGTGACGGCGTATAGAGACGCTGGCTCTCAGTGGTTATACATCCACTGCCACCTTCCCCAGAGGCCGAGGAACAATCCATTGGAGGGTGTCCGTGTATATTTGTTGTGGCGATTTGGTGGGATGGGTCTACTACGAGAACGAGGACATCAACTGGCTATCTGCAGGCTGATCAGCTACTGAAAATTCCTGCTCGCTCCAATCAAGCGATGAATAAACACTTTCAATAAGTGAGCAGCTTAGCTCTGGACGGCACGAAGCATTTCACACAGGCGAGCGGAGACTAGCTGAGCTTCCTGCGGCGCGTGATCCACAGACACTGCAGTCTTCCTGAGAGCGGAGCTCTCTGAATGGCCGCGGTCGGAACTCTCTGACGGCCACGGAACATGTGGTAGGCGCGCCGAATTGGGTGGGGCGCGACCTGCGAACGCAGCACCTGGAGCCGTAGGTGTAGCTCCTTCTGCGACAGGATACGTGTGAGCAGTGTGCCGTAAAGGGCGGGGGGCGGCATGCGAGCGCACCTACTGGGGCCGTAGGTGGAGCGCCCTGTGGGGTCCGAAAAGCTTGAGAGATGAGCCGAAGTGGGAGGGAGCGGCATGCGGACGCAACTACTGGGGTCGTAGGTGAAGCTCAATGTAGGTGGTGCGTGAAAAGTGTAAGGAGTGTGCCAGAAAGGGGCAGGGGGGCGGCAGGCAGACGCACCCACTTGGGCCGTAGATGGAGCTCAATGTGGGTATCTCATAAACCGCTTGAGGGTGTGACGTAAGAGGTTGGGGGCGGCATGCGGACGCACACATTGGCGTCGTAACGGAAACTCAATGTGGGTGGCCCCCGAAACGTGTGAGGGGTGTGCCGGAAGGGGACGGGGGGGCGGCATGCGAACGCACGCACTGTGGCCGTAGGTGGAGCTCAGCGTGGGTGTGGCATATGAACGTTTGAAGGTGTGCCGTAACAGACAGGCAGGGGGCGGCATGCGGGCTGGCGCCGTAGGCGGAACGCCCTGTGGGGCCCGAAACGTGTTAGTGGTGTGCCGTAACGAACGGGAGGCGGCACGCGAACGCACCCACTGGGGCTGTAGGTGGAGCTCAGTGCAAGTGGGGCCTGAATCGTGTGAGGGGTGTGCGGGAAGGGGTGGGGGTATGGCCGTAGGTGGAACGCCCTGTGGTGGGCCCCCGAAACGTGTCAGGGGTGTGCCGATAACGGGCGGGAGGCGGCATGCGGACGCACCCACTGGGGTCGTAAGTGGACCGCCATGTGGGGCCCAACAGTGTGAGGTGTGTGGCGCAAAAGGCGGGGGCGGCTTGCGGACGGACCCACTGGCGCCGTAGGTGGAGCTCAGTGAGGCATTGGTGTGCCGAAGTGGGCAGGGACGATATGTGGAGGCACCCACGGGGGGCGTAGGTGGAGCTCCCTGCAGTTCCTACCAAGTCGTCGCCGCTGGGC